GCCCGAATCCAAAAAGGTGCGATCTTCGGGACAAAAACAGGTGCGATCTTTCTTCGGGTCCATCGCCCAAAGTTCTCCAAAGACTCTGATACATTCGATGCCCTTTGCTACTAGTAGCGATGCACTTGTTACTACTAGCAAACCCTCTACAACCCATCAATAACATGGATCCTCTGAGAGAGGCCCCTTCCCCTTAAAATCTGAGGCACCCACCCGCTGCTTGCGGTTGCGCGCGCGCACTCGGAGCTCGTCCGGAGAGCGCCCCAAAAGCTGTGCCAGGTACATCCGGAGCTCGAATTCAAAGGCTGCCTGTGTGCAGTGTGGGATCTGGCCAGGACAGATTACGCCAAAGATCCCTATAATAGAAGGCAACTGCATATCTATATTACATGGATATTATATCCATATAATGTGTCATCTACACAACCCTAGCAGTACTAGCAGTCCTCTGCAAACCATTGCAAACCACAGATATGGATGGCGCGGTGTGGTATTTGGCACTGCCCACGTAAATATGTTTTGCTGTCCGTGCCTCTTTGTCTCAGACTGCAGAATTCAGGTCTGGTTTGTGTTTTTTTACGGGCGAATGCAATGATGAAAAAAAAATTCTGTGCCGATGTCGCTAGTGGCTTACCTCGGTGCTGCTTCAAACGACAAAGCACCATATTGACGAACCCCTTTGGTTCATACAGCTCCATGTTTAACCATCTGTCCCATCATAAGAGTTGCGTTGTGGAAGGCACGGAGTCGAGTGGGGGCCGCATTTGGATCCACTGTCCTACCGTCCAAAGTGCCCAGTCTCGTGAGGTGACGGTGAGCGATTTCAACAGCATTTACGGTCATGATGTGCCCGTACCCGTGTTGTATGATTTATAGATATTGTAAAAGGATTCCTCCACAAGCTTCAGATCTTCCAAATCTTCCCAGAGAACCGCCAATTGGTAAACTGGGCACCAAAGATTCGACAAAGTGACCAGAAAGCACCATGGAAACAGGAGCTGTTCTGTAGATCTGTAGATGATGTGTATTATATATAAAGCATTGTTGCGTTTGACGACCATTTCTCCCCAAGTGCATCCACATCCAATCGGACGGATCCACCTGCCATCCTGGCACTGACACGGCGGCCAGCTCCGTGTGGCCCAGCAGGCGACAGCGGAGAGAAGAAGGAGCTGCTCGGCCTCACCAGCCCCGCGAGAAGCGCAAGCGGGGGAAGTAAGGCAACTGAATCTGGATTGTGGATTCGAACAAAAGTTGTAAAGAAGTTGTGGATACGTAATGTAAACTATTTCAACAATGATGTCTTGGAATCTACAAGATCAATTACAGTTCTGCTACGACGTTGCACTTTCTAATTGGAATATATACTTCATAAGTATATGTATATGTTTCTTGAATATGAATATGCCATGAGAGCCTGTCAGTAGGAGAAAGAATCCTGTAAGGTTGTATGAAGAAAGCCAACAAGCAAAGCTACCACCCCTGCGGGCTGCGAAGAACTGACTCACTTGCGACAACAAAACCTACCCAGGACAGACTCACTTGCGACACCAAAGTGGACTCATTTGCGACACCACCACCACAACAACAACAACTACTACTACTACTACAACTACTCACAGGCACACGGGCACACCTTAAAATATTGATTTCGTGGCAGGCGCGGGTGTCGGAGATGAAGTGCAGATTTCGTGGCGCGGGGGGGGGTTTGGGGGGGGCGCAGGCACCAGATCCAAAGGTGAGCACGGGCGCGTCACAAGTGAGCCAACAGCTCCGCGTCACATCCGAGTCTGAAATCCGCGTCACAAGTGAGACCCTTTCCAGCAAGAAGCGCCACTGCTCTAGACGCCCGCAGCCTGCAACCTTCTCGACTTTGCGAGCGGGGCCTTGGTGGCAAGCGAGACCAGTGAAACCAGTTTTGACCGCGATTCAACCTGTTCAAAGCCGGTCATGTTTGGACTATGAAATCCCCGACTGTGATGGACATCCAGCAACTGCTACAAGCTGTTGTAGCTACCCAACATATCCCAAAATTGAGTGAGGCCTCGCAACAGGACCACCCCTGCAAAAGGGATGCTTTTCTGCAGCAGGGAGATCAGCAAACATCTTCGTCACCGTCATCACCGAACGGATCCCCATTGCATTGTTCTTGGTGCGAGTTGCTAGGATCCTGGTGTCAAGATAACATTTCACCATCAGCGCAGTCTTAAACCTGTTCGACATCTCACAGCATCCGTACCTCACAGCTACGTGAGAATGCGCATGAATGCTTGAAAATGATAGGATGGACCAGGATGGACAACATGCTCAATTGCACTTGGCAAGTTTGTATCTAGCTCTTGTATCACCATTATCCCCGCCCTTCCGCCAACTCCAACCACTCATTCACACCCCAACTTGCCACCCAAAGGGCTGGCTGTTCTTCTTTTGACTGGGCCCTCCTGGAGAAGGAAGAGATCTTGGGACTTGGGTTTTGCAGTTCGGGTTCATTACTCAGGTGGAAAACAGTGGCTGTGGAAGGATTAAGCCAGCTATGGCCAGGTGCCCCATGGTGTATTAGTAGTTTTGAAGCAGGTAGCTCGCGGACGGCAATTCTTGGTTCCTGGCACTTTGTCCTTCCAGATAATGGATCGTTGAATCCAAACTGCTGTTTCACATTATTTCCTGAGTGGAACGGTGCTGAGCAGTTCAAACAAGAACCTTTGGGTCGGAGCTTGAGGGGGGGCACATCTTTTCTGCTGTGCCTTAGGGGCGGAGTCCATCTGACCATCACATAACCATACATCACCACTGGTCAAACAGTCCTGTCCGCAGTGCGAGCCCCGCGCAGTGCGAGCCCCGTCTCCTCCCCTCGTGGATAGCGCGTGCGAGCCACGCGCCGGGCCGCACGGAGCCGTTCTGCTTGGAGCCATGGGAAGCGATTCTCCTGCAGACATGTGGGAGAGGAGGTCGAGCTAGGCAGCTAGGTGTTTCTTTCACACATCATCACATATCTAGCTCTCTTGGATGGGGGAAGAGTTTGAGAGGCAGATTTCTAGCTGCTCTATTGTGGATGTCAGGAGGTTCATCGTTAAACCTCACTATGTTGCCGATTCTCAGCATCAAACTCCAGGCCGAAATGCTTGCACATCAAGATTGGCATCATTCAGCATCGCTACTGCTATGGTCCTGAGGCGCTTGGGTGCGCGCACTGCGTGGCCTGCAGGCCGAAGTCAAACATGAGAGGAAACCCAGTGCATCCCAGCACACCATGTCACCATGTCCACTGCTTTAGAGGTGTCCTGCAAGGTCCAAGTCTCCAGGATCCAGTTGCTCATGAAAACCGGCGGTCGAAGTGGAGGTCGAAGTCTCTCTGTAAGAAAGATCAAATATCCACTGCCCGTGATGCCCTCAACGCTGTGGGAAGTTCAAACATCCACAGAAGCATACAGTAGAAGCGTTCTCCCACTAGTATCACTGGAAGATACTGGAAGCGGTTTGGTGCGGGATTCCTGATTCCTGTTTATCTGCAATATATGTAAGTTTGTTTGGTGATTGCCTACGATTTACTATTTCAACTCATAAAAAATCGTGGACGGCTAAGGCCCAATGCCCGCCACCGCCACGCCGCCTTTGCAAGGTCTTTCCCGAGCTCCAAGATCTCCGCAAGGTGCTCCGGAAGGGGAAATCCTCGCGGTGTTCTGAGGATCCCTAAACCTTGAGATGTCACCAATGGGCCTCATCGGTAGTTTGAATGACGGTGTTGTGACCTTGTTTCGTCCAGATGCGAACAAACAGCTCTCGACTGGCGACTCCTGCGGAAAATGCTTGGGCCGAAACTCTCGAGGCCCATAGAAGCGATCCTGAGGTCAAGTCAGGTGCCCAGTCCAGTGGGTTCAGAATCACTTAACTTAAACCTAATTTGGGGATATTATTGCTAGGAGGAGATTGGATGAGATTGGTTTGTTGCAATTAGGTTGGATGATGGCACTCTCAAGTGTCCACCCGATTGGAGCATGCCCTGGGCTCAAGCAAAAGCCCTGGGCTCGAGGGAAGAGCTCTGTTTTCACATGCCCAGTCTCTTCAGCAGTGCTGCGAATTAAAGCTTCATATTCGCGAGCTTTGATCTCCTGACACAGCCATAAGAGTGGCCCCAGCACATGAAAATTGAACCCCGATCTGTCTGATTGAAGTATCTGCAATGAACAATGGATCTGGTGTAGTCACTGTAGATTCAGGCTGGCAGTACGCCTAAGTAAATCTGGGAGGAAAGAAAACTCTAAGCATTGCTGTTTGAAAGGATGAACAGTAAAAAAGAACATGTCTCTTACAGAAACCCGTGATCAATAAGATATCAAAAGCACAGCTCGCCTGCGTAGCTCGCTATTGGGGGCCCGATGACTTCTTCATCCCATGTCATCCCACGTCGCCCTCCTGTGCCATCTGCTCTTGTAGGGCAACATGCAAGGCGTGAGCCGCATAGTCCATGGCACTGGTTGTGAAAAATGGGGCGTGCAGCAGACGTGCCGCGTGTGCGACCACCCCACTCGCTTGAGAGGTTGGCCTGCTTAGGGGATATCAGTCCGCCATAAAATAGCCATGGGCCAAACTGTTCAAAGAAAAACCATCTCAGACCCTTCCAAGAAGACACCTCCATGACACGTGTAGCTCTGGTGTGTCCCTTAAAGCACCAGGTGAACTTCCACCACTTTCATTGGTCTTGCAGCGACAACTGATGCTCGATCCACGAGAGTCGGTCACACAGGTCAAGCTAAAGGACTGCCCCCCAAATCCCTCATTTCCTAGCCCTAAAGCGGGCTCACTAAGTATATTGCTTGCTGTAGAGTTTTGTTCGAAAGCAAGGCTCAAGGCTGGGCGTCCATTGCTGACTGTTGAGGACCCTTCCTTCTCGGTTGTACGAATAGGATACTGCCGTTTATGACACGCGCATCACCCAACTAACAAGTGCAGGTCACCTTCTGAAGTTCCCAGCGAGCTGCCTTCCCACTGAGTCGTCCCACCCCGGGGAGGCAGATCTGCGGGTCCCATGCCGAAAGCTCCGCATCGACCAGACGAAGCAAATCCTGCGGGTGAAAGAACCCCAAAGTAGCTTCTTGCTCCTACTAGGAAGGCCAGGAGCGCCCCGTTCGTAGCAAACTCTTCCGACCCAGTTTGGCACAGGAGTTTTTGTTGGCAACAGGTGACATCCCCAGACTTTCAGACCCTCACAGCATTAGCGAAAGCTGGAAAGGGAACACGCATTGAAAGCAACAAAGTAAAGCAACGTTAACATGCACCGCTTAAAGGCACCAATGCCCCTCCAATTGTCCTGTCCACTGTTATCAGAGACTCCTTCAAAGCTTCAAAGGAGAAAAAGAACAAGGCTTTCGCAGCTGTGAAGCCTTTCAGATTAGCAGATCAGATTAGCACGGCCCCGCTGAGATCAAGTCATTTCCTTTCGATCTTTCTGCCTCGGCAGGTCTCAGCTTCTCTCATCCTTTCCGCTCGACGCCCAATGAAAAGAGGTTCCATGCGTCAACACGATTGATCAGATTAGCACGACCCCACTGCTTTGGCCTCATTTCCGTATCGGGCGACCTTCATGGCGCCTCAGTGTGCCTCATCATCTGACAAGCTTTGAAGTCCACAAGCAGCTCAACCAACAAACATTCATCGGTTTTGGGCCAACTGGCTGGATGCGATGGATAAAGGCAAGATAAGGCAAGGTAGGTCGAACGGCTGGTTCACCCCAAGATGTCTCTGGATTTCATCCACTTTTGGATTTCATCCACGAATGTCCACAGCCCAGGCCCAGTGGCAAGCAAACGACCCAATAAGGTCAAGACACTAAGACTATGATGATAACTCTCACCAGGCTGAAGCAGGCAACGCAGGCAACGCCAGCACAAATCGGCCAAAGGACACACAGAATTTCGTCCACAGATCGTCTTCGTAGCTTTGGCTTTGACATGATCTAGGTCGGAGGCCATCGCTTTTAGTTTGGAGGCCATCGCTTCTAGGTTGGAGGCCATTGCTATTAGGTTGGAGGCCATCATCGCTAGTAGGTTGGAGGCCATTGCTATTAATTATTAATGCATGTCTGTTCCTGGCCTCTTGCCAGTCCAAGGCTTCGAGCAAACTGCTGGCTGTTAGGAGCCTGCAGGAGTGACTATGGACACATGTCAAAACCGCATGCACCCGGAAATGAAGAAACAAATCATAGCTCATACAGTCCGGTCGATGTTTCTTCGGTTGGAGGCCATCGCTAGTTGGTTTGAGGCCATCGCTAGTAGGTTGGAGACCATCGCTAGTAGGTTGGAGGCCATTGCTAGTAGGTTGGAAGCCATCGCTAGTTTAGGTTTGAGGCCATCGCTTGTAGGTTGGAGACCATCGCTAGTAGGTTGGAGGCCATCGCTTGTAGGTCGGAGACCATCGCTAGTAGGTTGGAGGCCATCGCTAGTAGTTTGGAGACCATCGCTAGTAGGTTGGAGGCCATCGCTAGTATGTTGGAGACCATCGCTAGTAGGTTGGAGGCCATCGCTAGTAGGTTGGAGACCATCGCTAGTGGGTTCGAGGCCATCGCTAGTATGTTGGAGACCATCGCTAGTAGGTTGGAGGCCATCGCTAGTAGTTTGGAGACTCTCGCTAGTAGGTTGGAGACCATCGCTAGTATGTTGGAGACCATCGCTAGTAGGTTGGAGGCCATCGCTAGTAGGTTGGAGACCATCGCTAGTAGGTTGGAGGACATCGCTAGTAGGTTGAAGACCATCGCTAGTAGGTTGGAGGCCATCGCTAGTATGTTGGAGACCATCGCTAGTAGGTTGGAGGCCATCGCTAGTAGTTTGGAGACCATCGCTAGTAGGTTGGAGGCCATCGCTAGTAGGTTGGAGGCCATCGCTACTAGTTTGGAGACCATCGCTAGTAGGTTGGAGGCCATCGCTAGTAGGTTGCAGGCCATCGCTACTAGTTTGGAGACCATCGCTAGTAGGTTGGAGACCATCGCTAGTAGGTTGGAGGCCATCGCTAGTAGTTTGGAGACCACCGCTAGTAGGTTGGAGGCCATCGCTAGTAGGTTGGAGACCACTGCTATTGGGTTCGCGTCTTCCTGTCATGCGAAACGGCCTTGCATCCCAGTTCCAGCCGTCACAAGCTCGTTGGGCTCTCACAGACCGAAGGGCCTCACTGGAGGTTGGAAGATCAAAAGCAAGCCGTGTCGAAACTCCTGGTTGTTCATTAGTTTCAGGGTTCAGTCTGGAGTTCTGTTGTCGTTGAGAAATTGGATTTCGATGCTGCTCTTCTCAGCAAGTCTGCATGGTGCAATATCATACTCTTGCTTCGGTTCCAGATCACCATCTTCAAAACATATTTAGAGACATTGTGGAACTTCAGACCTCACACCTCTTCATGGTGCCGATGAAACTAGTGTCTTTGCTCTGCATGGTGTCACTCCCGTCTGTGGAGCTTGCTGAACTCAGTTCCCTCCAACTTCCCAAGAAGTTTGGATGGTGAAGTAGAGAGCCTATCAATTCCACCACACGTTGACGTCAGTAGCTAGAACTGTCTGCAAGCGAAATATCAAAAGTGTGCTGCATTAGATTGCTGGCCTGAGTCAGGTTGTGTTGCTCTCCTAACCCGCGTGTTTAGTTGCTTTGCATTTGGGAAAAGATAAGGAACGGCTCGTTCACCAACTCATGTAACATTTTCTGAATTTCAGGGCAAGTAAGGAATTTGCATTTCCTTTTCGGGGATCAAGTGCGATGTATCTGTTGACTACAAAACACATGTCTCTTGAAGGGACAATCAGGATGAAGGGCCCACCAACTTCCTTCAAAATGCTTTCCCACTTACAAAAGGCTCAAGGACAAAAAATGATTTGAGCACTCATATATATATATATATATACACATATATTATAATATATACAAAAATATATGGACCTGGTCATCTTATTTATGGACACTCGAAAGATCCAGAAAGAGGTTGATGAGTGGCACCTCATAGATCTGCTCCAGATCCACACTGATCTGGGTCACCACCGTGTTGATCTCCTTGTTGACGGAAAATAGGAGGTGCAACCACAAACCAGCCGAGCACCTGTTCACATGTTGCAGCTTCCCTTGAAAGAACCTCCCGGATGAACATGAAACATGAAAACTAAAGGCAATCTCTGGAAATTATTGCAGCTTCTTGTTCCTAGTAGTAAGAATGCTACTAATAGTAATGACAGGAGCCCCTAGTAGATCCTAGTAGCGTCCTTGCTCCTAGTAGTAAGGCCAGGAGCCCCTAGTAGCGTCCTTGCTCCTAGTAGGCAGGCCAGGAGACCCTAGTAGCGTCCTTGCTCCTAGTAGTCAACTGGTACCCACGTCAGTACAGCTGTATGGAGGTTGCGAGGAGACCACCGAATTTCCGCCAGACACGCAGGCACGTCGGTCAGGTGGCCGTCGTCCTCCAAAACCAGCTGTGCTGCGGCCACTGCCCGGGCCTGTGGGGCAAGCAGGGAAGGAATCCGTGAGGTGAGGTGTCACATTCAGAGTAGGAGGAGCTCTGCTCGCAAAGGAAAAAGGTCACGTCAGCTACACTGCATCAGGAAATAACCATTCCGGGTCAAAAACACAAAAAAGAGTAGGTACGCCTTGTTTGGGCAATCACGGGGTGTACGTTCACCTCATCATCCATTTTTCCAAACAAAGCAACAGAAAGACATCAACATGGGGATTTGCCAACTCAATCGCAAACATGGAAGCTGAGTCAATCATTAGTTTTGATCCACCCTTTCATCTTGCACACCACACTCGTGCAGCCCAGAAGCAGCACCCCCTGCAGCTTCGTCCAGGTGATCCAGCCTCACTTGGAGCCCAAAGGCTCAAATCGCAGGAGCAAGCGCCAAAGGCAATGCCTGGCCCACGGCACGTTCAGGCGATGCTGCGATGGGGCTCGTGGGGCCGTGGACCGAGAAAAGGGCAAAAACTCGGAGCTTTAAACCATATAGATTGGGTCTATCCTATTACCTGTAACAGTGGATGATGGTTAGTAGAGGCCTTGTTCGAAAAATAGTGATAATTGTTTACTGACTGTTACAGGTAATAGGACGGACCCAAAATATAGGATCATTTGGGACCTTTTTCTTCCTCATTGGTGTTCCAATCAGGTGATGAATGGAACGGGTGTCACCGTCGTACCCACGAGACCGAGCTCGTGTCACCATTCGTGCGTCCCTCAGCTGGACGACGCGGCGGTCTCAGCCGGTCTCCGAAGCGGCGGTCTCCGCACCTTCCTGCACCGAGCGTTGGAAATCCGAAGAGCTCTCCGAGAGCTTTCCATGCGGTGCTGCTGCTTGGAGAAGTAGCTCGGTCCTCGGCGATCTTGGAGCAAAGGATGGCAAAGGTGCAAAGGAACTGCTGCAACAAATGACCCATTCCAGCTAAACCAAAAGAAGTTCACTTCCTGACTTCATCCAGGGTGTGTTTGGCAGTTTGGACCATCCACCTCAGGTTGACTTCGTGTCAACATTGCCCCTTGCATCTCCTTTGCAGCGCGATTATTTTGTTTAGTGGTTCAACGTGCCTTTGCCATGTGGTTGCCAAATGCTGATAAATACCAAACACAAACACCGAGTAATTAGCCTTAAAAGGTTTCTTCAACAATCTAAATAACATTTAATCATTCGGTACAATATCCCAGACCTATACAATCCATAGTACCTGCACACGCCTCATACAAGAGTCTGCAAGATGCCCAAAGCACCACTGCAAGGACGGCGAGGACACACATCCAGGCTCCCGCACAAGGGCCACTCCGAGAGAGCCAGCACCTCCATGACACTGCGGCCAGCATGACCCTGGACCAGGCAGTGTGGTGGCTTGGTCAGTTGGATCGTTTGCTGAAACATAGGTCGATAGGCGCTGCCGGTTCATCTCCAGAAACAGGTCATCATCACTTCTAGGCTCCCTTTCTTGAACTCTAGCTGCTTTATCAAAGAACTCCGGTGTGGATGAAAAAAAACAAATTCATCCAATTCCAACTTGCCAGCTGAGGATTCGGGTGGGAAACCGCTGGAGCCCACCTCCAAAAGGAGGCCTGCCCACATCACATGACTCACCTCGTCAAGGGCAAATCAATCGGGACGAACACGTGTTCTTCGATGCGTTTCTGTCATGTCTTGTTGCGGATCCGTATGAATCCATGGTCCAAATCAAAACCAAGTCAGGTCAAAGCCACACCCTCTCTTTTGATGTGTGTGTGGGTGGGGAGGGATGCTGCAAGTCTCTGCAAGTCTCACAGTTTGATACGGTGAGTACGGTGGAATGCCTGTAACTTCATTCTGGATCTGGGTGGAAACTGTCAAAGATTCTTACGGCCTGTGCTGCAATACCACTCAGAAGTGCCTCACTCCAGAGAGGATCATCACCCTCGAAGCCTATCGAAGGAGTCACCCGAAAAGAACGACAAATCTGATCCGAATCCACGTCATTAAAACAGGACGTCGTCAACTCATGGTCCCCATCGATCCGTTGGCTCCCAGAAAGCCTACAGAGGCCAGCCTGCACAGAAACCCAGAGGTTTGGGGAGGCAAAGGTTTCTACCCCCCAAAAGCAGTGGCTTAACTCCCCTAAGAGTTTTATCTCAAAACTGCTATAAATATCTATAAATACATGTTTGTTCTTCCTTCAAGAAAAGGAAGTGTCGAAATGGTTCAAAACGCATGCTAGCCCATGAGCTGTCGCCAGCTTGCCTCGAGCAGCTGTGCAAAGGCGCAGGCCGCTACAGCCAGGAATCTGGGAGCGAAAGAAAAGTGCCGGTTCCAGTAACCTTGATGCTCTCTCGAGTGCAGAACTCTGGTTGTGCCTGCTTTTTGAGAAATGACTCGGCCCTGCTTCCTGTTCAACCAGGGGTAGACTAACCCAAAGCATTCAGCGTAGATGTTGTGCACTTTTCACATGTATGTGGTCAAGTGATGTGAGCTTGATGAGGCATGCCAGTACGTGACAGAAACCGTGTCTCATTCTGCATCCCAAATAAAACGATATCCCCTGGTGATCTGGTACCTAATATAGATTCCTATTGATGTCAAATTGTTTGCAGTCCTAATGTCCTCCGATTCCAAATGCCATGTGACCTTGTCTTCTATTGTTTCTTATATATATATATATGTATATACTGTGTGTATATGTATACTACCGGTATCTTCTTCATGCAGCAAACCAAATGGTCCGGGCGCTTGTGGTGGCTGCTGTGCACACTCGCCGTGCATTGCTCCGACAACGGAGAGTTTCACTCAGCGCCCCTTGAGCACCACAGCAACCACTAAATACCTCTGTCCCTCCACTCCTCACAGAGCTGGGTGAATCTTCACTCCCAGCTCTCATAGCGCTGGTGGAGGACTTTAGTGTTTATTTCAAGTTTCAATTCCCCAAACCTCACCATGTTTTTCCCGCCCAAATGGCCGAGAGACATCATTCCCCCAACTTGAGGCTCCCAGCCCTGGTATGCTGCTTGAAGTTTTGGGTCAAGGCCTTCAGAAAAGCCCTCCAATGAAAGCAAGGAAAGTCGTCTGAGCACTCATGGATGATCCTGAATGTGGGTTTAACCTTCCATGTAGACACCGAGTCGAGTCCAGGGGATGTTCACCAAATTTGCCTTTGTGGCTTCACGGCCATAATCAGCCATGTGTGAAATGTGGCGCAGCGTTAGATGACCAACGGACCTGAGGTGAACACTGAGCCGTCCAGATTGCTCATCGTCAGCTTTTGGGCTTCCAAGTATTGGTGGAAAGGAAGTTTGTGACCATCAACAAAATCGTGAGTGGAAAATGTTACCTGCGGTTCAAATTGCCCCTAAAGCTGAAGGGTTGCCTCGACTGACTATGTAAAACAAAGGAAGCAGAGATAGCCTTCTACCCTCTGCTCTTTTTGAGGACCTATATACATGAGATCCCTACTGGAGTCGGGTCTTTGAGTCTCTCTCTCCCCCCTTGCCGCCACGCCACCATTAGCCCAGCAGCACGTCCAAGCAGCGGGCCACCTGACAAAAATGGCTGGGATCAAAGGTCAACGGTTGCTTCCTTCCCCCCCCAAAAAATAAGTTGGCATGGCCATCAAAATGACCAAAATGCGAGTGCGAGCCTGGCACCAGTCTAGTCAGATCAGAAGCAATACCCCGATACCATTCAAGGGGGCCATCTCAGTAGAGAAGCCTTCAGTCGAGGAAATCTGCTAGAAAATCGGATGATCCATTCGGATCCAATACTATTACAGAAACTTGCAAGGGTGACGAACAGTGCACGACACCCAGACATTCACTCATGTCCAGGTCCTGCACTCCTGCACCCATTCGGTGAAGCTCGCCCCACCTGGACCTCTGTCTGCCATCTTCAGGCCTTAGGATAAGTGGAGATCCCGAGCGGGCCCGAGCTCTGGAAAGCCGAGACAAAAACAGACAGACTCATAAAGAAGACGCCAAATACCTGCCGTTCTTGGTGTAGTTTCTTTCTCAGGTGCAAAAAGGGTGACCTGAAAAGCGTATGAAAAAGGTGGACGATCGAGACTTGGTCGAGCGATGTCCTCTTAGATGATCTTAGATGTTCCCAGGATACCTGGCTATCACGGCAAAGCTCTTCTTGACCACCCTGAGGCACCAAGAACTGTTGCTGTCGATAATTGCCTCGGACATGAGACGAAGTGGTGACAACCACGAGACCAATCGAGTTCAGTTGGATCGGTTCTCCTGCACCACTTGAGACGAGAATTGACCCGGGGCCTGTGTGACCCGGTGCCTGTGCATCCGACAGGCTTGTATTCCTTTTCCTTCAATTTTGCAAATTGGTCGTCTCTCTGTCCATTCTTCATTCAGTTGCACGTGGTGCCTTCGTGCCCTGCAATTTGTGATAAAGTCTTCCCATTGATTCTTGCTTACCATGGAAAAATACTTCTTTCTAACGGCAATGGATTATATAAGTTATATAATTAATACTACTCCTAAATCACCTCCAATCACGAATGACCATGGCAGGGCTGACAGTGGTTGACGAAAGCCTTGACCCGTTCGTGAAGCTCACAAAAGAATCCACTGTCCATGCAAGTCAGACTCAAGCACCATCAAAGCAAAGTCGCTTAAGATGCCATCCCAAATAGTAAAGCAATAAATATATATATATAAACAAAATATATACTGTTGAAGTAAATGAGTCAACTGAAGCAGTGGTAAGTAGATATGGTCCCCACCTGTTCCTCAAATCACCCCACTCCTCCTTCGGTCCCGGCTACTGAAGTCATCGCAGCGGCTCAGCCATACCTCCTGTTCTTTCAGCGTCAAACACCTCGCTGCAGAGTCTGTGCAGACTCCGCGGGCGCCAAACGAAGCTACTCCGAGCGGTTCCTGAATGACCAGTGCTGGCAAAATGATTTCACCTCTTCAAAGGACAGAATCCACTGTGTCATGGTCGCCAAGTGCAGCCACCCGGCAAAAAGGAAAGAAAAAAAATAACAAATTAGACACGCATTGTCCTTGCACGCACAGGGCTGGAAGAGAAACCATGCCCGGATTGGGCTAAAAGCGTCCCGGACAAAACAAATGGCCACAACTTCCCCATTCAATATAGAATAAAGGACACAGGCCCGCTGGTCCGCTATTATCCTGCCCTACACTGTCAGTTTTCTCATGTTTTCTCTACAGATGTTTCCCTACAGCTGCATGATTCTACATGAAAGCCACCTGAGTCTCCACCCGGCTACTTCTTAGAGTATGAAACTGGAAGGGTAGGGTCTCGCAGCCAAACTAGCCAGCAACATGGTGACGGGCTACAGAGAGGACCTCCTCTTTGGGTATAAATGTGACGAATGATTCACCAGTCACCCATGTGCCGCTGGTGCCGGCTGTGACCAAAAATGGGAGCGAAATGCAGCTCCCCAAAGGTCCTGGGCTACATCCATTGGAGATCATTGGAGCACATCTCTGGGTTTGAGGCTTGTAGCACTGAGAAACACAAAAAAACAAAAACAACCAGCTACTCCTCACCTGCATTAGTGCCTAGGAAACAAAAAGTCGAACCAAACATCATTCTCCTCATCCTTAACCCATGTGGTTTCTCCAACGAGGGCCAACATCTGCATCAGCCCAGCGATGCTTAGACTGTCTAAGACATCAAGAAGGTTTCTTAGACATCAGGAAGGGCACGATCTTGCTCCAAGAGCTCCCATCAGTCAGTACCGCGGCAGAGGCGGTCCCCACACACTCCATCTTGAAGCTGTAGCCATCACAAAACCAAATCGGACCTGAAGGGGTCAAGGTCTTCTTAATCTCGTAGATCTTGTTGACCCAAATGCTCATCACAGGGTCCTCATCCGGTTTGATGCCCTTCAACAATCCCACCTCCTTCACCAAAGGTGGAATGAGGTCTTGCTGAATTCGCTCACTGCTCTTCTTGTAGATTTCAATGGTGCTCTTTTTGAAGCCGTCATCTGGACCTTCCAGCACTGTGTGCACGTTCAGGGACTCGTTGTACTCCTTGAACCAGGACTCGACCATGTCCATGGTATAAGGATATGGCACCTCTGGCTTCTCTGCGCAGCCCTTGCAATTGGCCCTGAACATCTTCTCGTAGCGCTCCCAGTCTGCCTTGCAATATTCAAAGAACTTCACTGGGTGCATGGTGTGGATTAAGGAGTACTTGTATGCGTTTTCATCACCCCAGCACATGCTCATGGTGGGGAAGTATAAGTAGCTGCTGAAGACGCCACCGGACCACATCTCATACTGTACGTTGGTCATGTAAACTGGCTGGTCTAGCTGAGTGTCGCTCTTTCTGTGAACTGGCATGAGCTTCATCATGCCGTTGGCACAGGCTTCCTTGAAGAGCCAAGGATGATTGTGCAAGTAGTATCACTGCTTGACAACGCCACAGGCGACAGGGCCTGCCGAGAAGGTGACAAAGCGCCTGGCGTCCATGCCGGTGGCATCTGCACTCAAGATCCGTCTGAAATCGCCATTGACCATATGGCCAACCTTGTGGGTCATGGCATGCAGCTTGTGCACACGAGGGTCCCCAATGAGCCCCAAGGCTTTGCAAATGTGGTCCATGTCCTCCAGCTTCTCGCCACTTGTCAGGTGCAAGGTCTTTGCTGTGCAACGTGCCAGGGTGTCCATCCGGTCCTCCAGCAAGCCATAGGCCAAACAAAGGAAGGTGACGTCGCCGATGCCCTTCAGCGGCTGCTCTGCTTGATGCCAACGTCGTGTGGGTCGTTTCCGATCTGGACTGCATAGAACTTATATGGATCCTCCAGGCCCAGGTTGTACATGGCATCGAACTGCTTCAGTAGCATCCAGGCCGGCGTTGGCGGACCTTGGATGGCAGAACCAGCAGACCTTGATCGAGGGCATAATAAACTCTGCTCATCTCTGCTCATCTCTGCTCTCAGCTTCAAAAAAAGGCCTGAGAGAGAGAAGGTTAGCCGGAACGTTTTTCGTTTTAATCCTCCTTCTACTCTAGCCTTTCCCGGAGCAGGCCTTTCTACATCCGCATGCCACATGATGCCACATGCAGGTTTCCAATAGAGTCTCCCTCGGCATGAACTTATTGCAGAGTACGGCTAAACCAACCACTCTGGGCTTCCTGTTCACCTTAGAACTGCCTTCCTTGCCCTTTGTGAGGTAAACAAATCACAGGAAGAAACAGCCGTAAGGCGGCTTAAAGCAAAAATAAATATATCTGAATCATATCTGAATCAAAGTATTCTATACCGTATACCATTGGATGGGCGAAGGGAAAAGACCCCGGCAAAGCTTTCTGCCTGGCAGACGGGCTTCATGTCCTCCGCCGTGTCACCCGGGCCATAGAAAACAAAGACTCTCATCTTGTCATCTTGATGCCGTGTTGAGGGTTGTTGAGGCAGTCAAGCAACGGCAGGCCCTTGCTTCGGGGCATAGGCACCATGGAGCCAGTAAGCGCCTTCAAGCTCTTCTTCTGCATCATGACGCCACTGAGATTGGCCAAGGTATCGGTGTCGCCCTCCGCGATTCTCTGGTCAATCGCGTCATCAAGGTCGTCGAAATCCATGGCACTGGGAGTGGTTAAGCGGAAATCGGGACCACCAAGGCAGGAAGTCTGATCAATTGGATTGAGCCTGAATTATCTGCGTACAAACAATGATTCCATGATATTCCAATCTTCTTCACTATCTTCACTGCAATAACACCACCCGTTTCCTTCCAAAGACTGAAACCCTCCCCGAGCGCCCCGGCTGCTCGGAATGTGCACGGATCGGTCCCTCCTGCTCTGGCATTGAAAACCTCAAGACCGGATCAGCCAAACACTTGGTCAATGAGAAACTCTTCAGCATGAGGCTCAGTCCAAATTGCTTCTCCAAGCAATTGACCCAACCGAGGAAGATCTTCCAAAACATTCTACATTAGTCTACCATCTATGTCTCTTCCGCTAGTCCAGCACACATTTTGCCAAGACTCGCACTACTCTTGAAATGTCTGCGTCTATCATTTGAACGACATATCCTGGAACACAAGGGACTGTGTCTTCTTTTCCCCACCACAACTTCATTGGGTCTGGGTCAAGTGGCATCATCTTCCCCGGGGTTGGATCCGTCGTCCTCGGAATGGTCTTCCCCGAGATCCATGTTCCGCATGGAACCCCGAGCCGGCAATGGGGAATCTTCAAGCTCTCAAGCCCAACAAAGACTTCTGCGTGAAGTCTAATGGATCACAGCGAACTATCCAATCCTTGAAGGCGGATGTCCTTGAAGCATCAGGCAGGAAAAAACAGAAACATCTATATAAAAACCGCAAGGAACCCAGGTTTGCTCACCCCAGGCGCCTCTGATTCTCATGAACCACGCCACCATCAACCACCTGAAAGAAAATGACTCACGGCCAACAGGTACCGGCCTGGAACCTCCAAGTCCGTACTTGTTGCATTTTTTTGCCCCGCATGGCGTCGCGGTCTTCGTCGCGAACAATTCATCTGCACACCTCTGAAAACCCAATTGACATGATGGATGTCAAGGCATGTAAAAGATGTTGTACTGTATCATGTTGTATCAAAGATTTGGGGTTCTGATGGGTTGACAACAAGAAACACGAAGGCCGTGGCTAGTAGGTTGGAGGCCATTTCTATTAGGTTGGAGGCCGTCGCTCTTGGGATGGAGGCCATCGATATTAGGTTTCTTATGCTATTAGGTTGCAGACCGTTTCAGAAGAAACAAAAGCCTCTCTCATGTGTTCTTACAGCTCGGCAGCTCCGGTTTCTTGTCTGGCCGTTCCCGAGAAACCACCGGTGATCCAAAAAAGGGCTTGCCCACGGGAAGACCCGTGAAACAAGGAAACTGATTTCAGCTGTACCTCCATGGATCATACGTCAATCCAAATGTGTTTGATCTTGCTAAGCTGAAGCTTGGTGCCATGCCTAGAAAAACGACCATTTCTGGAGTTCAACATAGGTCAACGCTTTCCCAAGCCCCAAACACAAGGATTCACAGCTCAGTCCACATCTCAGGATGCCACACAATCCACGAGTCGAGGGGCCTCTTTGCCTGAACAGCGAGACGGATGGGACCCTTCAGATGTTTTGGCATTTGCGTAGTGCATTTGATATTTAGATACCACGCTGAAGTAATCTGAGCACTCACAACAGCAAGTGCGCTGGTCCTCCCGGCCTACGTCCAAGCACTTCCAGGGCTGAGCAGCCAACCTGTGCCATTCACTGGGAGCCACAAATTTGAAGCCACATCTTTCCAGCGAAAATAGATGAAAATAGACAACCTATCAGGGTTGTTCCAATTTCTGGTGCAAAAATTGCAAATTGCATGCATTCAAGCTTGACCAATGGTACCTTTTTCCGGATGCCGCGTAACAATCTATGTCTATGTATCAATTCACCCCTACCGTGAGCTGCTAGGGCGAGAAAGTGGAGTCGATCAAGGGCACAGTTTCGACCCCATTGTGTCTCGTTCAGGGCTTCTGAGGAGGTTAAGAACCATCCAGCCTGATGCTGCCCTCCTTCGCTGGTGTCCAAAATCGCTGGCTGTCACCTCTCAACCGGCAGAAATCCAGAAGAAGCCGCCATCGATTCCATCGATCCCCGTTTCTCGGCCACGTGGCATTTCCGATCGTTTCCGTCTCAGAATCGACTTTCCGCCCATTTTCAGTTGCAGCAGGCAATCACCGGCGTGGGCACTACTGACTGGTCTGAAAACGAATGTCATTCATCGGAATGCAGATTGCAATACAACACTCTCTTACTAGTAGCGAACCTTGTTTCTAATAGCAAACATTGTTACTATATACTAGTAAGGCACTTGTTACTAGAAGCGATGCACTTGTTACGTTCGTAGCTTCTTGTTACTACTAGTAAGGCACTTGTTACTACTAGCGATGCACTTGTTACGT